CTGCTTTATTGATTCATTAATCCCGAGTTGTAGCAATTTCTCGTTTGTATTTCTGTAATAACCCCCAAACCATTACAGCTCGTATTTGGCAATCCTCACAAGCTTGTAGGTGGGTAATCTGCATGTTAAGCAGTCCCTGGTTTTAGCGTTGTCTCCTTGCAAAGAGCATCTAGGAGGTACTCGTTCTTAGAAGGTTCCTTTCCCGCTAGGACCCGCGTGTGTATTTGGACACACAGCTCTTTGGTGCTGCAGTGGTGAGTGCAAAATGTCTTTGTGGAGGAGACATGCAGAGGGACGTTTGTCTGTCTGCACTCATCTCGCTTCCCTTTAGATATTTTGGGTAGAATGCGTTGTTGGGAGAGAGACAGATTGTTAAAAAGCTCAAAGGCCTATCAGCAGTCTCCTTCACAGCCGGTGTAAAGGGCTGTTGGGTTGACTTGCAGGTGTGAAGATCAGAGTCAGTCAAGAGCAGGTCTGGCTGTGGCAGCCAGGGCTTCTCACCATGGCACAGACCTCTTCCAACGTTTCTCTCCAAAGACTACCATGCTTGAAGTTTGCCATTGCAGTGTCAGGGGCACCCGAATTGCGCTGCCCGTACTGAACACTGTCCAGCTCTACTGCCCATCTCTCCTCTCATTTTGATGTTACTGGGAAGAAAAAGCAAATCTGGCATTGCCAGCTCTTCCAGGGTTATGATTAATCTCGAAGATCAGTGCTCTTCCAAAAGCCTGAGCCTCTAATCAGTGTAATGTAAGAGGAGGCTCCGAGGAGACCTCATTGCAGCTTTCCAGTATCTGAAGGGGGCCTACAAGGGTACTGGTAGAGGACTTTTTACAAGGGCCTGTAGTGATAGGACAAGGGGTAATGGGTATAAATTGAAATCAGGGAGGTTTAGATTAGATGTCAGGAAGAAATTCTTCACAGAGAGGGTGGTGAGGCACTGGAACAGGTTGCCCAGAGATGTTGTGGATGCCCCATCCCTGGATGTCTTCAAGGCCAGGCTGGATGTGGCTTTGAGCAACCTGGTCTAGTGCAAGGTGTCCCTGCCCATGTTGAAACTAGATGATCTTTAAGGTCCCTTCCAACCCTAACCATTCTATGATTCTATGATTCTAATGTGCTGGAATTGATCCTCCTTTCCATTCTCCCATCCTAGGCAGGGTCACAGTTATCCCTTATGTATTCCCAGTGTCCCTTTATAGTGGGAAAAGCTCACGGGCTGCATGTATGCAGTAGCCCTGGTCTCTGAAGGTCTCCCTCTGGGGGTCTGCAATAGGTGGGATGCCTTTGAACCTGTGGTTTTGGATAATCTTGGAACACACAAACCCTCTGAAATAAAAGTAATTAGGGCCTGTAGTGACAGGACAAGGGGTAACGGGTTTAAATTGAAAGTGGGGAGGTTTAGATTAGATATCAGGAAGAATTTCTTCACGGAGAGGGTGGTGAGGCACTGGCACAGGTTGCCAAGAGAAGCTGTGGATGCCCCATCCCTGGAAGTGTTCAAGGCCAGGCTGGATGAGGCTTTGAGCAACCTGGTCTAGTGGAAGGTGTCCCTGCCCATGGCAGGGGGGTTGGAACTAGATGGTCTTTAAGGTCCCTTCCGACCCAAACCATTCTATGGTTCTATGATAATCCTCTAGTCTTCCATTTCAATAATTCAAAATTCTCTTATTTTCTTTTACATAAAAACCTGAGTTTTGGGGATCTGGCTGAAGTCTGTGAATGCTTGGGGAAGATGATAGGGGAAGTGCAGCAACGTGAATCTCTGCTCGCTGCATGACAGGAACAGCCAGGCACCCTTGCCCGCCGCTCTCCCGGGCTCCACGGTGGACTCCTGCAGCAAGGGCCCTCTTCTCCTCTAGCGCCCATCTCCTGTGGCTGGCCGTGAGCATGGGCAGGCTGCCCAGCTATCAAGAGCAGGGGGACAGGTGGGTCCCAGTGACAGGAAGAACTTGGTGCTCCCTGGGGCAAGGGCAGCTTCCTCCGGATAAGCTTGTTCCCTGGGGCCGCTTTATTTTAAGGTGCCTTAGGGCACTGATGGGGCAGGTGAAGGTGGTGTGTTCCGCAGTTCTGCATCCTGCTCTGTGCTTGTGCCCCAGCACCAGGCACGCTTGGGGTGGCAGTTGCCTAGGACGGTGTCTTGGGTGAGGAAAACATGTCCCTTGTGTTGATGCAAACTCATTCTCTGCTTTCATAGTTTATTTTTAACCCAGTACCTTTGGTTGCACCTCAGCTTTTTTTTCAGTGGTTAAGAGATGGTTATCTTATCGGAAAGTTTCCCTGCTGGGATATATTCATGCAGCTGATGCTGTTTTCCTTTTTAAAGTACATGAGCTGGCTGCAAGTTGGGTTTGTTTGGGATTTTTTTCTGCTCCGTGCACAGATTGCAGTGAATTGTTTTCATGACATATTAATAGCCTGCCGGGAAGTGAGATGCCCGGATTAGGTGATTTACTTATTGCCATTAAGTAATGTAGAAAATCAGAACCCATAAACCTGAATGTGCTGGAGCACATATTCATAACCCAAACTTATCCTTCAGAGCCGGGAATGATTTGTCAATCCAGCTACTTTTCTTGTATTCTTTTCCCTTTTTTCTTTTTTTGTTTTCTTTCTTTCTTTCTTCTTTTGCCTGGAGACTTTTATGCTTCCTGCTACTGAGTTACCTGGAACAGCAATATATCCCAGGCTGTCCTCCAGACTGATGGAGAAGGAAGCGTGCTTGGTGCAGCTCAGTGCCCTTCGTCACAGGGGCAGGTGTTTAGGGACCTGGGGCTGGGTTGAGCAAGAAGCACGCAGGCAGCAGGCTGGATGGTGCCTGGGGCAGTGTTGGCAGCCAGAAGTAAGACCTTCCCATGCCTTCAGCCGGGCAGGAATGGAGTTTTCCCACGTGGGACAAGGTTTGGGTTTTGAGAGACCTGGCATGTCAGAGTGGATGAGGACTTTTCCCTAAGATCTGGCCCTTCAGATCAATGATGTAGGACAATTAATCAGTGTTTAATGTTTCCGAAGCATGGCACAACTAGTTAGTAATGACACAGAGATTTGTCCCCGGGTTTCAACACTGGTTTTGCATTTTTGATCTGCAGAGGCTGAATTCTCAAGGCCTTACCAGCTATGTGGGTATAGGATTTGCCGTGTGAAGACGGTCCTGTCTTGAACTTGGTTTTTTTAGTCACTTCAAGTATCTTTCCCACTGCAGAAGTTGCTTAAAACCTCCGAGAGCTGATGGTTGCCTTCTTTTTACTTCAGGCCACTAGCAGTCAGAGAACTCCGGAGGGGTTTGCTCATTCTGTAGGTGATATATTAGGGCTGTTTATCTTCCATTGCAGGGTAAATCATGGGGTGGAAAAATAGACAGCAGCAGTGGTGATGAAGAAGTTGATCTGTAATTGATGCATGTGAAGAGTAATGTAACTCTGCTTGGTCTCATCCAGTGCCTAGTGGAAAAAACGGGATGCGTTGTGAAGATACTCCGGTGATTTCAGCAATGCCTGGAATCCTGTTTTCTTGATTGTGATGAAATAAAATCTGCAATGAACGGTTTGAGAGTGTTGCTGTTTCACAGTTCTTAAGGTGTTGCACTCGCTTTTTGTGTTAATGCTTTCAGATTTTATGTATATGTACATATACACGCACACGCGTTTCCCAGGGCAGGAATTAATTCTTGATTCCCCCTTAGGAGTTTTCTTTTTCAGGTTATATGGGTTAAATTATTAGGGAATCGCTTGTGGTAGCTATTCTCTGTGTTCCAGACTGACTCTTAAAATCTCTTCCCTCTTTGAGCCTCTTCGCACAGCAATTCTTATGCCTCTTTTAGGAGAAGCAGCCTGTTCCTCTTTGACTGAAATGTTTCATTTTAAATTCTGTCAAAGGATGATCAACTGGGGCTCAGTTACAAGTAACTATTTTTTCCTCTTGTCATTTCACTTAGATTTTTGGAAACTGTTTGTTGGGGAGATGCCTTTTTTTAATTGATTTTACTGTCAAGTTTCAACTTTTTTTTCCCTCTCTTAAAACCATACATCTTGTACCCATCTCACTAATTAAAGCTTTTCTCTCCTTCTGTTTATTAGGGAACTGCCCTTCATTACACTACAGATTGAGTTTCTCATGGCTGTTTTACACTCTTACTTTCATGTGGGTTACAGCTTGATAATGTTTAAAAATAAGCATTGTCTAAAAAAACCCGACAGGTTTTTGGCAAAATGAGGTTGGTCGTTGTACACATGAAGGCACTTGGAGTGACTACAAGTCTTCCATCCCTTTGTAGTTGGTGTATCCATCATGCACAACAGTCCAGTAATTCTTATTTCTGTCGCAAAGATGGTCCATGAATTAGCTTGCTATTGCAACTTCCCTGTACAGAGCAAAGTTGAAAGTGGTTGACAACTCTACGCTCCAGAGGGACAGGAACAAAATGGTCATGAATTCTCTTCAGGCACGGACAGAGCTAGATCCAAATTTGTAAGGAAGTATCCTGTCGTGGTTTAACTCCGGCTAGCAAAATACCACGAAGCCGCTCTCACAAATCCCCCTCCCCTCCTCCAGTGGAGGGGAAGAATCGGAGGAAAAAGAAATAAGGAAGCTTGTAAAATTGATATAAGAACTATTTATTAATTGAATCTAAATTAATATATACAAGTAACACTAATAATAAATAATTAAAACAATAGAAAATAACACATGATACAATATGATACAATTTCTCACCACCCACTGACCAATGCACAGCAGGTGTTGAATACATGAATACAATGTTCCTTTGGTAGAGTATCATTGGGATAAACTGAAATACTGTGGAAGGGGGGAAAGGAGTTTTCAGCATACGCAAAACTAAAGTAAAGCCTTTGGTACACTAACACACGTCAGTTGCTGCTGTTGCAGGTTTCAGAGAGTGAGGTGTGAACAGAAGAACGAGGGAAAGCAGATACAGTTCTCGTCGACTACAATGCGTAGAAATTCACCTTACGGTATTGTTATTTTCTTCTCATTCTTAGCATGGCCGGACCCCCCTTCATCTTGCTGCCCACAAGGGTCATCTCCACGTTGTCCAGGTTTTGTTGAAGGCAGGTTGTGACCTGGATATTCAGGATGACGTAAGTAGATATAACCTTCTTCCTTGGGGTGGAGGGGAAAGGATAATTTTGCAAATAGCAGTAGACCTTCACTTCTTTGAAGTAAGATTAAATGAAAATAAAATCTGAGTCTCTCTTTTCTAATTTGAGATGTAACCTCTAATTTGGAGATGCAAAACTGCATGGGAGGCAATGTGAAACGTGGTGGTTTCCAGCCAATAGCTTGGTCCCCCTGCTCAAGCTGCAGAGCGTTATAAGAGCTCTGGCTGTGGCAGGCGGGTGTGAGTAGCAGAGTCGTCGCCTGCTGCTTGGTCTAGAAATGGAACACGAGTTCCTTGTACTTTCTGGGAACCCACTGGAGAACGTCAGGTAGGGGACACAATCCATTGGGATGTTTGCCTGGAGTGGGAGATGCTTTTTCGTGTAGGCACACGCCGCAGGGTGTGGAGTGTTGAGCAGCTGCCCGGAGCACTGTGCAGCGTCGCAGGGAAATTGTCCTGTTGGCAGCCCCACTCGACGTGGGGGTGGTCGCATCTGTGAGGCTGTCGTGTGGTGAAGCATCTGCGTTTGAAACCAGCTTGGAATTTAGCAAATAGTAGTTTGTTTTCATTCAGTAAAATATGTAAGTTATTGGAATTTCTTGGTTTTCCATAAGAATAGTTCTAATCTTGGCCCAGGCACGTTGCAGTGACTGGGAACATCGTTTTAGTGACCGATGGGCAAAGATGTAGGCTGAAATGTGCACCAGCAGTTGAATAACCATGACTTCTTCAGACCGCTTGCTGACTCCAGCACGCTGGAACAAGCCTGAAGAAGGGTTGCTTTTGTTCTGCCTGTAATAAATAATGAGAAGATTCTTCAGAAGACCGAGGGGTCCAAAGGTGGTTAGTAGAGGCACCTGTATGACTCTGAAAAGGACACTGGAAATGTCTAGGTGTCTTTTGAGAATCCCCTTAGGCATTTGTTTGCATCTAGAAAGTCTTAAATATCTATAGAAATTGGAAAACTGATTTCCTTCTCTGCATGAGTAGCTGCTTCCCTGTGAGATGTGAGCAGTCTGTCTGACAAGCTCTGGTCTGGGGTACTGGTACAGCCAGCTTTCTACTGGGAAACTTGTTTTTCTAGGAAGAAACTTTGCTTCCTGCGCTCTTTATTCTTT